TGCACGTTTGCTTGTTCTCCCAGCATCAGCAGTGTAGGGATTCTGGAGTCTTCTCCACTGTGTGCTGTGATGACTTACCCGAGGATGAACCTGCCAGGAATGATAAAAGCGCTCTTCCGGCAGAGCACAACTAGTAAATGTTTCTCTCTCTCTTTCTCTCTCTTTCTGACTCTGTTCCCATGGCTACAGTACTTGTATGATGGGATGGAGATGAGTAGCCTCCCTGTGGATCTGACGGTCATATGGAATGGAGACTTCAGCATTGACAACCCGGCCCAAAACAAAGGTGAGGCCTCTGATCCGGCAGCCCTGCTAGTACCTCTGGATTCAGTCTCCATAGCAACAGACTTGCCGCATCCATCCCCTGACATCCTGATGGAGTTGACTGCGGATAGCCTCTGTTTTTGCTTAACTTCTTCCTCTTTATTTCTGTCTTTTTTTGACCTTCTGTTTAACTTAATATATCACAATATCTCATGTTCACACCTCTCATCTTCTCCCTGTGTGTATATCTTTGCACCACACGGAAGGTCAGAGACATGCTGTGACAATTAGATCTTCCATAGTCTTTAAGTGTGTGTTAAATTAACCTGTGTGTGTATCCACCTGTTTGACAGCCAGTCAGAGATCTGTAGTCAAAGACAGCTGTTCGTTGGCCAACAAACACTTCCTACAGAGAGGAAGAGAGATATAATAATGACAACTAAATATAATTAATTTAAACTCAACCCAGTACAAACCTAATCCAATATGAAACCTTGAATAATTTTCACGCATTAGCAGACCGTTGGCTGAATGTCTGATGCATAAAGCACACAAAATGGGAAATACTTCTGGAGTTTCAAAGCCTTCATCTGATTGGTTGAATCGAATGCTAGCTTTTTGAAATATGTGAAGTTCACAGCATAGATTTTTCACAACTGAAGATGATGTTCTTGAATTAATTATTTATTGGTTGCTATATTCACACAAAATTTGCTATTTTATTGGTTGCTATTTTCACACAATATTTTATCTGATCATAATTTGCCTATAATCATTTGTCATAGTCTATTTTGTTATAAAATAATTGAACAATATATGTAGTATTATGTTATTATAATATATATATTTAGTGCTGTGACACGATTAATCGCAAATACACACACATACAGTATATATTTTGAAAATATTTACATGTATTTATATTCATCTAATTTATATTATATATAAATATATTGAATATATAAACATAACTTATTTTTCTTAAATATATACATGCATGTGTGTGTATTTACGTATATATACATAAATATACGCAGTACACACATATATTATGTGATTAATCACGAGTAATCATTTTACAGCACGTATACACACACACACATATATATATATACCTTTTTTCCCAGATTTTTGCTTAAAAAATTTCAAGTGGGGTAAGAAAAATAACTTAATCCATGATATCACATCTTAATGTTATGCAATTTTGCTTCTCAAGTGGTTTTCATGAAATGGATGCTTAGATGTTTTACTGGAAGACAAAAACAACTAGACAAAAATACTGATTAAGAAAAAAAAATTTTTTTTTTACTTAAAAAGATGACCTGACCATTAAAATAAAATTCAAAGTAATTGCAGAGGCAGACTGAGCCCTCAAGAGATTTTTAAACATGTATGCCCAATGTCAAGACTAGAAGTTCTGAAAACAGTTTCATTGATATGAAATGGGATTTGGATTCAAGTTAAACGTGCCCCTGCTTTAATCCAAATCAATGAACATAGTACAAATGTGTCTGAGTGTTATTAAAGCGCTGTGTGTGTGAGTCTATGTGTGCGTGAAGGTTAGGCTAATTTAAGAGGGAAAGTAAAGTATGTGAGATTTCTCTCTTGGTTCCCACTGAGGGGGAGCCACTCAGGGGGCAGCAGTTGATGGACAGATCATACAAGCATTTAATAGCAATTAAAAATGCCTTTTTGGTTGCCATGGAGATGAAACATAATATCGCTGTACCAGGGAGAGGAGGAGACGAGCAGTTATCTTCAGAGCTGAGAGGAAACCAGCGAATTGGGAACTATATGATTTAGATTCTATATTTTTTTCATTATTTTAGAAGTACTTCAAGCCATTGCTGCAAATTACATCAGTTTCCTTTTTGCTTTGATCAATGTCCCATGGGTCTCCCAACCTGACTTGCCCTTTGCCTTCCCTGTATCCGCAGTGCACCTGTACAAGTGTGACGCACGGCGGGAGAGCTGTGGACTGTGTCTGAAGGCGGACCCTCTCTTCGGCTGTGTGTGGTGTAAGGGAGAGAACCGTTGCTCTCTGAAACAGCACTGTCCTCACCCGCAGAGCATGTGGCTTGAGCACAATGGCATCAATAGCAAGTGCACGCACCCCAGAATCACAAAGGTAAAACTGTGCACCAATCCACACACAAAATAGACCGTACAGAGCCCAGAAGTGTGAGATCACTAAAGGAAATGCTTCTGTTTTTCAGTTTTCTGATTTGGTTTCTAATCCAATTAATTTTACATCACTTTTAATTATTTTTTCATTCTAAAATATTAGAATTAGATGTTGTATAGAAGATTTTCAATGTGGTCTCAGACTTTTGGACCCCACTGTAAACAGTATATATAGGTCACTACCCATGACATTTGGGGTCTTTCCCAGTGCCAAGCCTGTACTTTTACAACTGGTTTAGAGGTGAAAAGGTTCTCAAGGGTGAACTCTAAATGCTGAAACAATCTTATTTAGAGTCAAGCTTAAACTATCTGTTAAATCATAAATGTCTGAGATTTTGTCATTCTCAGTATATTATGTTCCACAGGTACAATACAAATCTGTTAACATAAACAAATGTGACAGAAATGCTCAGTTGTACTCACTGAAATATGCAAGTTTTATGGTTAACCATCATTGTGAAGACGAACAGTTGATATAAACTGAAGCAAAAGGCGGAGGAGGAACAGATGGGTGCATTGCTGAAAGAGTTATGATGGAAGTGTGACCTTGGGCAGAATACTGAGGGTGAAAGAATGGCGAGGAAGAGTGGAAGGATGGAGGAGAGGAGGAACATTGAAGCCTCTGCACCATCAACTCCATCTGTAGCGCCCCATCAAAATGATTGATGAACATATAGCAGAAAGGGAACGCTACCTGTTTGAGTGCCACAGGCTCTGAATGACGAACAGCAGTTGTGTCTGAAGCTTGTTAATCAAACTCAGAAACTTGTTGGCACGAGGAAACGCTCATTCACAGAAAAATACAAGAAAAATTACTGGAATGAAGTCGATTTGACTAGTTTTATCATCCATCATGTGTCCAACCAATTAGAAAAGAAAAAGTATGCCTATGCTCAACAAGCTGCACAATTCATTCTGCAATCTGTTTAAAATTGGTCACTACTATCACTTCAAACAATCACTTCAGTGCTTTGTTTGATCAGAGCTGAGGTTCTAATTGCCAATTAACACATTGAAAGTCTGAAATGGAAGTAAGCCAAGCAGAGCTGTGGGTACTGTGAAGGGAATTCCTGGACTGAGCTCCTCTGTTTTTATTCCATCTCCAGATCCGAGCTCTCCTCGCGCCTCATAAATACTCTCACTCTCTCTGATTATCACTCTCTGCGTCTTTCTTTCAATTGATCGGCTCACAGGTCGTAATGTATTCTAATGCACTATTACTGTGACATTGTAGATGAGGAATCTTTCGCTGACATTGAAGTGGATGGTGATTAAGTGTTTTTCCTCCAACAACCGTCAATTAGCTTGTCAAAGTCACAAATCTAATCAACTCCCCATCTCCTAATGAAAAGAGACTACTCTGTTTCTCTCTCCAGCTCATACTCATCTACACTCCTGCTTCATTCTCTCAGCGGAAGGTTGCAGTTTTACAATGACTTTCCAGTAAAGTATCAGTAAAGTGGGTCTGTTATTTCATTTTTTTTAATAATCATTTGGCGTATCATAAAGACGTCCCAAAAATCTATAAGGCCCTAAGGGCATTGTAAAGACATTGATAGTGTCATACGTAGAAGAGGAAAACTCTGATTAAACTGAATTACTGGAGAGATAAATTACAACAGTACAACAATGTTCCTTAAAATGCTTGGTCCAGACAGGGTGTGTTCATAGTACACTGGTATGTTTTAGGGATGCGCCGATCCAATATTCATATAGGGTATCGGCTCCGATAGTGCCATTTTTCTCGGATCAGGTATCGTTCAGAGAGCGCCGATCCAAATACAAGATTTTTATTTTTATTGTTTTCCCTGATTGTGCGAATTATTCTGTTTTACTTCTGAAGCCATACGATAGCTTAATGTGAGCTACATATGAATATTTAAGTCCTTACATTAAAGTTCACACAAACTCTTTTCTCCGCTGTGGCTGTCAATCATTCGTTCAGCCTTTAAACCCTGGTCGCGTTCGGTTACAGCAGTCAGCTCGGTAAAGCTCTCTCCAAGATCATTCAGTGTTCCCATTATACTTGATTTGTAAATACATGTCTGATTTTGCAAAAATGACTTTATCTTCTTGCAGGAGTTTAATGTTGTTTTGTTACTTGCTACCGGGTGTCTGTGAGGACAAAACACAGGCGTAGAAAAGACTATAAATAGTTTTTAACATACACGGTAACTGAAATTTAAAACTGTTCAAAGAAAGGCTCAATAACTTTTGCACAGATATAATACACTACGCATCAATTTCTCTTCCCTTATCGTATCCATCATATTTTAACACGAAGCGCTTACAATGTGCGCATCCGGTGTGCAGAATGATGCACTTGAAGCAGCACGGCGTCAGGCTGTGACACCATGTTGCTTCAAGTGCATCATTCTGCACACCAGATGCGCACATTGTAAGCGCTTCGTGCTCATAGACTGTATAAAAACAGTTTGAGCTGCATTGTATTTGTTTTGTCCTATCGTATCCATCATATGTTGTTGCCTTATTAAAAAATATACTGTACATTCAAAAGAAATGTATTTTAATTTTATAGTATATACTTACACATATATATGAATCAACCCTCTACATTTCGAGTAAATCACTCGCATATGCGACTAAATCTTCACTCTGGGCGACTAAATGATGTCTAATATTAGCCAATGGCTAATCAATTCTCAGATTTTACTCGCCAGTGTGTGAGTTGGATGCTGAGTATATGATTAGCTCAGATATATTTTCACTCACAGAACACTCTGAGTGCTTCAGAGTTTCACTCTCCGAAGAGAGAGTCTTACATAACATGCAGAATTGATGCGCTACATGTAAACGATATACTTTGTTGTATTTTCCTGTAAAAATAACAAAGTTCCTTTGGAATTCTTCAGCTTTTAAGAACTGCCGGGTTTTCCTGTAGTAGACGAAACTAATGCGCAAACGACAATCTCATTGGCTGG